GTAGATGCTGAATATTTGAATTTCATGCAGTTCTTGTGTGTTGTGAAACATGCTGCTGCTTTTAATTTTTTATTGACCATTTAGAAATGTACAAGCCATTCTTAGCTCCCTGGCGGTACAAAAATAGGCAACAGGCTGGATCCAACTGGCCAACGGGTGTGCCAACTCTGAGGCTGTAAGGTGAGGGAAGAGAAATGGGCAAGGGTCTGAGGAGGGGAGGTGCTTGGTGCTGGAAGCCCGAGGTGCCCCAGAGCAGCTGGGTACTTTACTCCGGCCACCTGGAGCTCCCAGTAACCCACTTGATGGACAGAACCAGGAAGAGCACCTGCAGGTCACAATACTCCACCCCAAAGTGGCCTCCCTTCCGTCTGTGAGATATGTCCCCTCTCAGGGGAATAAGGGCATCACTGTGAAAAACTAACCGAAGTTACTGTGGCTTGCTTGCTTCAAGGAACAGCCCCCTCCCCCAGGGCCGCTGGCCCCAGCCACAGATGGGTGGGTGCTGTCCACCAGTTAACTCCCTACCTCCAGGTGTTTTGTTATGTCCCTCAATACCACCATGAATCTCTTTCCCAAACCATCCCTCAGGCAAGCGCTGTGGACATCCACCTGTGCCCTGTGTGTGCCAGGTTCCCAGCTGGCTCATGCCCGCTCACTGGTGGTCAGCGCAGTGGGAGTGGAGTCTCTGGCCAGTTGGCAGCCAGTCCTGTGCTGGGCTACGTTAGGTGTGCTCAGCTAGCCAGCAGCATCTCCTGCTCCTTCCACCCTTTGTCTCCCTCCCTCCCTTCTTTCCTCTCTTTCTTCCTCTGGCTCATCTTCTCTCTTCCACCCCCTCCTTTGCTGCTCCTCTAACCTGTAGCAGGAGGGGTAGTGTACCCTGACGCTTCCAGGACAGGCGACATCCCAGTACTCTTGGGGGTAAAAGGGGGTTCCTCACAGGACACAGTGTTTGGGAGGAGTACTTTTCAGCTGACCTTGGAGAAGGTCAGTCCCCAGCTCTCCACATCTGAGTGGGAAGATACTGCTGTTTTGTCCAGTTGCCCAGTGTCTCCCTTCACTGGCCTCACCGCAAGTCCATATGAAATTTAGGGTTTGGGTGGGGTCTCCCCGTGCAGATAGGACTCCAGCAGCTCTGAAACAGGAGGGTCTGGACAGTGAAGAAGGAAGGAGCTCGGCGCTGGCCTCACTGTAGAGGAGAGAGGTGGGAGAAAGCTGCTTCTTCCGTGAGGCAGCCTCTGTCCCTTTGAGGGCAGTGGGAGAGGGGCCCGGTTTCACCTTTCAGCCCTCGCTCTCTGGTTTTTTGGCCCAGTGGGAGAGGTGGAAGTGGGGTGGGTCCTGCTGCAGTCTCTTTCCTAGAGGCAATGTGCAGAGCGCTGTGCTCATTCTCTTTTTCTGGCTGTGTTCTGCCTGATGTCCAAGCACTGTGTTGCTCTGTGAGGAGGAGCCGTGCTGAGCACTGGCTCGGATGGTCCCATCCCCAGGCAGGGAAGATGCGGGACACGGGGCTGTGTGACTGAGAAGAGGGGAGGCTGTTTTTGCATCCCCAGGGGACTTCCGGGGGGCACAGGAAGCCATATCATTCAGGGCAATGGGGAGATGCTGGAGCTTCCCGCTGAAGCCTGGGCTCTCTGCTCCTGCTGGGGACAACAGTCCCATAGTCTGCAGGTCCCTCTCACCCTAGTGTGGACAATGGCAGCAGCTGTGAGTCACTGCCTGCTCTGCATGCTGACTGACAACGTGTCTTCTGGACACGACTGATGCTGTTACTTCCTGCTGAGTTCATGGGGTCGAGGAGGGCAGGCCTGCCTTGATGAGAAGGGGGAATGATGTGCCATCGGAGTCTCCAAACTTCCCTCTAGTTCTAGGATCACTTTACACGTTCAGTTCCTGAGAGGTAAACCTCCAGGGTTGCCAGTATGACCTTGGAAAATGTCTCCTGCTCTGACCTCGGTTTCCCTATCCCCACAATGGGTAGATGCCTTTAAAGTTTCAGCTCTGAGTGGTATGTTTATAACTAACTCTTTCTGAAGATAGAACATACATAGATATGTGAACAGACTCAGAAAGGTGTCAGAGGACCACAGGGGGCTCAGCGTCCATCTTCCTTCTACCAATCACAGAGAGTAGAAGAAGTCCAGGGATATACAAGCTTTGAAGCCTCGTGACTTGCGGCTACACCCCAGATCTATCAACTTGCTGTGTGGCCTTGAGGGAAGTTGGTTAGCTTCTCTGTGCTTCAGTAATCTCCGCTGTAGAATGAGGATAGCGTTAGAAACTACTTCACAGGTGTTTCACATTAAAGGAGTTAATGTTTATTGCTTGAAAAAGTGCCTGATATATACTGGGCTGTTCTTTGAGTGTTAATCATAAGCAAATGAGAGCTCTGCAGGCTGCTGTTCCTATCCCAAATGTGACACAGGGGAATGCTGTTCCTCATCCCAAATGAGACACGAGGGTGCAAAAGCCTGACCACAAAGTGGTAAGGTGACAATAATAGTTAGCAGACGTGCAGCCCTCAGTGAGCGTTGGACTACCATATGACCATTGTGTGTACTCTGTGGCTTATTTACATAAATTTGTTGATACCTTGAAGTAATATCTGTGAGATAGCCATTATCATCACTCCCATTTTACAGATGAGAAAATGAAGGCACAGAAAGGTTAGGCAGCTACCCTGGGTTAAAAACTCTAGCAAAATGGCTCCCAGGTGTGCCAAGTGCTTGGGAGGTGAGTTTAGTTGTCCTCAAAGCCAACTGACCAGCAACATCAAGATCCAGACCTGAAAGAGAACCTAGGGGAGAACCTGTCATCCTAAGATATTCTGCAGCCTAGCCCATGAAGCCTGGGTCCCTCCTGGAGGTGGGAAGCATCTAACCTTGGGCTGGCATTGTGCTCAGACCCTCACTAGCAGCCTGGGGGAGCCAGGATGCAGAGGGGGCCAGGATGGAGAAAGTGGGGAGCAGCTGACCTGACTGGGCGGCAGACTCAGGACAGCTTGGGAGACTGCTCTGGACCAGAGGAGCCACGGGTGTTTTCTGAACTAGGTTGGGACAAGTGGCCTAAGACTGAGTGCTGGCCAGTGGGATAAGGATGGCACAGAAGAGGCTGGAGTGGCTTTAGGGGGTTACTTGCCTTGGAGAAGTTGTTGGAGGCAATTCCTGAGGTCCCCAGAGGTGGCTGAAGTCAAGGCACATGGGCTCCTGGTTTTCTCTCTCCCTGTTTTGCTAGATAGTGGCTATGTCCAGTTGGGCAAGAGGTGGACTGCAGTAAAGGGAGAACAGAGGACCACAGTCAGAGTCAAGTCCAGAGGAGACATCATACTGAGAGTCGTCCCTAGCTCCTTTACAGTCTGTGCCACTGGGCTGGGGCAAACCCTGCCCTGGTTCCCCTGGTTGCTTATGCACTCTGGTGACAGTGCAGAGAGCTGGGCTGGGCTGAGCTTTGGTGCCTTGTCTTTGTCTTGGGCTTTTTCAGTGCTCCATAGCTGTGCGGGAGGAACTGGCCCACCTAAACCCGGGACAAGCCTCCGCTATCCTGGGACCTCCCCGTATGTATGTGGGTGCACGCTTTCACAGGCTTGCATTTATCTTGCCTGCACCCCTGTTTGCATCTGCATGGATCTGCGTGCCTTGACGTGTCTGATGCCACTGCACACTGAGTGTGCTCACAAGCACGCACACATCCAGCTTGATTAATGCATCTGAACAGTGGCAGGCTGTGTGTTTGCCTCTGCGTGTGCCTTTGTTCTGTGCCTGTGTGTACCTGCTCTAGGTGGAGGAGTGCCTGTGTGTGGAGGGGAGATGTCTGGAGCAGGGCTTGCGCCAGCCCTCACCACCTTCTAAAGCAGGTGTATGTGGGTCAGTGGTGTCCTGGCATGGGCCTCAAACTTGTTTAAAGCAATTAGTAAAAATAATAATTATAATTTCAGACTAGCCCTGTAGTTTTGTATATTCTGTCACACTGCTGTGTGCCAGTGTCAGTTTAGCAGTGCCCACCAGGTGGCTGCTGTGCTGTCCCTTTCCTTGTCACCAATGCTGTTTTAAATAATGTTGTGGTGAGCAGCTTTGCACATGCTTCTTTTTGTCCAAGGGTGGAGTCTCTAGGCTGCAGGGTGTTTGTATTTAGGATCAGTTTTAGGAGCAGAGTATGCTCTTCTGCTGAGAAGGAGCTGGGCTCCTGGGTCACCTCATTTACCCTATTCGGTCTCTTCTAAGGCCTAGTCCTGTGTGCCTGTCCCTGGGAGCCCCTGTTGCTCTCAGGCTTGAGCATGTAGTCCTGTTTTCTGTCACTCTATCCTGAGAGCAAAGTGGAGTAAGGTAGGGTGAAAGAAGTGTGCATCTGTCAGGGTGCCAGCCTGGGAGATTGTGACCAAGAGATTTTAAGAGGGAGTGGGTTGGATGGGAGTTCATATCTGCCTCATGAAGCATCTAGAGTAAGGTGGCCACTCAGGCTGCGGTGCACATGCCTCTGTATCCCATGACCACTTGTGATCCTGGCTCCTTTCAAAGTGTCGCTCCCCAACCTCTCAGCTTGTGTCTCTGTCTACGCTGGCAAAGCTGACTGAAGCATGTGGGGAGGGATGGACAGTACGTCATGCCTGTGTAGACCAAGGCTGTAGGCAAGGCTCACGTTGCTGCCAGCCACATTTCACAGGCGCCGGTGTGATCACATGCTCACACTTGAGTGTGAGGAGAGCTGGAAACGTGATTTCTAGGTGGGCATGTGTGTGTCAGTCACAAGTTTGAAAATGGGGAGAATGCCAAGATTTCGGGTGACAGCTGGTCTGCAGCTGAGAAGAAAGTCCTTGCTGACCATCACAGTAGGCTGATGGGCTGAGCCAGTGTGGTCAGTGTGTCCTCAAAGCCTGGTGCAGACGGGGGCTCAGCAGGTTTGTGGGACAGGAAAGTAAAGATAGATGGACCTGGCTGTGGAGGAGGAAGTTTGCCCTTGGTGACTGGGAGGCAATGACTCACAGGATCTTGCTTTTGCTTCCTCTATAGCCTGTGGACTCCTCGGAGCTGACGGGGGCGGCTGCTGGGACGAGAGGCCAGTTGTGCCGACTGAAAAGTGCCATGGCCAGCAATCTGCAGGTCCCCCTGGCTGCTCTTCTTCTGCTGCCTGTGGTAAGGGCGCAGGACCCTCCCCTCCATAACTCTTCTGGCACTCATCCTCACCTGAGCCACCTTCCCTGAGAACTAGTGTCTTTAAACTATCCAGGGGTGAGGAGCTCTGCCAACAGCCCCCCGTGGACCTGTGAAATAGAGATGCTTCCCTACCTCTCCATCCTGTACTGATTGTACAGCTACGTTTCCCTCCCTTTCTCCCTCTCTACCTCTCTTCCTATCTCTTCCCCTTCCTTCCTCTCTCTCCAGCTTTTTCTTCACTTCCTTTCAGAGTGAACCCAGAGCCTTCCCACTGTGCTACATTCCTAGCCCTTTTAAAATCTTATTTTCTTTTCTATCGATGCAGAGTCCAGCTAAGTTTAAATGCAAAGGTCTGGGATTACAGGCATACAACACCAAGCCTGGCCTATGGCTTTCAAATCTACCATGATGGTGACTTGTGTGGCAACTTGTAGAGTTGTACAATATGTAACCTGCTCAGCTGTGTGCAAAGGCTTTGGTGAAGGTTGATCTTCTCAACCTGTGAGAACCTGTGAGTCAACCTATGAGGCTTGGCAGATTTGAACTCAGAACTCTCTGCACATTGTTCATGTCTCCCTAAAGGAAGGATGAGGACAAGGAGGGGGAGGAAGAGCTTTGTAGGATCAGCTCTACCTCTTGCTCTGGAGGTTTGGACTGGCAGTGAGTGAGGCAGTCTTCAGAGTCCTGGGTACCAGTCTTCCCTCGGTCCTGCCTACCGGTGTGACAAATGAGTCCATCTCTCTTCCGGGAGCTGCCTGCAAAGCTGTGAGCAGCTGGCATTGGATGGATTCTGAACATGGCCCGTGACAGCTCAGCTGCCTTGTGACTGTCTCATACTCACTGATCATCCCCTAGGGAACCGTCCCTTCCCGGAGGATTTGAGTTAAAGTGACAGAATTCGTAGGCAGCTGTCATGATAGTAATGCACTGCTATGAAGTCACTTGGTCTGCAGATAGGATCTGTATCTGCCACTAACTGGCTGTGTAACTTTGGGCTACAGTTTCTTCTTTGAGACTCAGTTTCTCCTTCTGTAAATATGGGTGGCATCACTAAAATCCAACACTGTTCCTTCACCTGCTGCAGCTGAGGGTGCATCTCCTTCCTAGTTGAGCCCCCAAAGGGTTAGACAGTGATTTCTTGCTTGCTCTTGTGTGGTCTGAACACCCGGGTTCAGAGCCTGGCTCTACAGTCTGCTGCATCACGTGACTTTTGGCAGGACAGGTAAAGTCTGTACCTGTTTCCCTGTCTGTAGGGTAGAAGATGATTACACACAGTAGCCACAGTACTCTTGAGAAATATATGCACATAAACACAGACATTCTGAGTAATTCCTGTGTTTAGTAAAGAGCTATATGTATTTGCTGATATTATTGTAAGTTGCAGACACTGAAGCCTGGGAAGGGAGCAGGCATTTCCAAGGATATTCTTTGAGTTAGTGATGGACAAGAGCCCTCGTGTTATCTGTGATGTGAAGCTGTGGGCTGGCCCTGGGATTATCTGCCACTCTCCTCCTTTCTGTCCCCAGTCCCTTTTACCTGCCAGACAACAGTGAGGCTTAGCTAGGAGGCCTTGTCATGACCTCCTGGCATCCTCCCACCATCCACCTCATGTATCCCTTGCAGGCTGCCGCCATGCACTCTGACTGCATCTTCAAGAAGGAGCAAGCCTTGTGCCTGAAGAAGATCCAGAGTGCCTATGACCTACTGGGCATGAATGATTCCTCTCTGGGTGAGTGGAATGGCAGGGAGAGCACAGTGTCCCCAGCCCAATCTTTAGAAGCACTTTTCTCATTTGCACCAACTTACAGACAGTGATGGAGAGCACAGCTCTCTGGGGCTTCTGCATTCTCTCTGGGCAGTGACACGGGGGCTGCCCTGCTTGGGGCCAGTCTACTTTGGTGGCACAGGGCTGTTCTGTGATCACCTTTTCTCTTGTAAGAGAGATAGGCTGGTACCTGGCCTGGGAGGTGGTTGTGAGAGAGCTTGCTACAGATCACCAGGCTGTAGTGGCAGCTCAGCCTGCCCATGGCTGAGCTGTGGCATCCCTGGGCAGACCAGGGCAGGGGTGTGCATGCATTTCCTCTCTCCTTTGTTCATTCCATCAGCCAGGGAGAAAGGCAGCAGGCACTTCTGTCACAAAGACTGTCCTTGTGGGCTTCCCCTGGGAGCAGTGAATGTTTGGGGAGGGACAGCATGGCCTGAGTTGGATGAGGCCACACACTGCTGGACATTTAGCATCCTTTGCTTCTCTCCTTAAATGCTTATAATTCCTCAGGTCTCAAATATAACCAAACACCACCAAACACCGTCCCCTAAGGTCCCACAGCTTCCAAGGAAGGAATACAGCTCTGGTGAGACCTAGGGGTCCTAAGTAACCTTCTTCTTGGAATTCCTTGCCTTGAGAGTGGAACCCCAAGGCCCACAGAGGCCATGGTGCCCTCACTTTTCTGTTTGAGGGGTGGTGGGAGGTGGGGGTGGCATCCTGGAGCCCAAGCTCTACTTATGCCCGCTTCCTTGCTGAAGGGCTGGAAATGTGTCCTTAAGGGCTGGAAATGTGCCCCTGCCCTCAGGCCAGAGGGATGCACTCCTCCCTCTGGATCCGCCCAGCTCTTCTGAACACCATCTGCTTGAAGACTTTATTAATCTGCAGCCCAGTTAAATGCAGTGGTCCCACTGGACTGAGCTCCGCAGCCAGCTGCTTCTGGGTGAAGACTGGAAAGAGTAATTCCGGCTATGCCAGCCCTCCTCTCTGGCCATGCACTTGCCAAGGTTGGAAGGGAAACCTAGGCCCCACCAACTAGGAAAACTGAGGCAGGTGCCCAGGTGCTGTATACCCCAAAGAACCCCAGACTATCTGAAGACTCTGGTCCATGTCTTTTGTTTGGGAAATGAAGGCAGTGCCTATTAGACCACCAGAAGGGCCTGGGCCCCAGGTGTCCTGCTTCTTATGACCGAGGGTACAGCAAATAGGCATTAGGGAAGGAAGAGAGAGGCGAATTAGGGTGGGGTGGGGGCTGTAGGTGGGCTGTGTGCTGTTTGGCCCCCTGCTCAGTGCGTTGAGCCTTGATTGAGGACAGAACAATCTTGGCTGGCCAAAGCAAGATATATACATGAGGATGGACACTTTCCTCGCCTTCCTTGGAGGAGCAGGCCAGTGCTGGCAGGAAGTCTCACCCAGGTGTGCCTTGAGCCGAGGATAGGGAAGAGATTGTGGAGAAGGTAGCATGGAAACTCACTTCCTGAGCCGGCATGGTGGTGCTCACCTGTAATCTCAATGCTCTGGAAACCTTTGACAGTGATATAGCGGAATGCATCTTCCCACCTACTAGATGTCCAGCACGAGTTCGTGTTCTCTAAAATCGAAGAATGAATTTTAGGAACAATGGTGAAGGTTCAGAGTGGAATACATTTATTAAGAGAAAGAAAGCTTCTGTCTGAGAGATAGAAGGGGTCCTGAGCGGGTTGCCAAAGACTTTGTCTTTTCCAGGGACTTTCATAGAGTAAAATTATGGGGTTAGATGGGTCAAAGGTGGGGAAAATGGGAATTTGCAAGGTAGGCATAAGGTGGGACAGAACTGTGGTCACCCAAGAAGATTAATTGCTCAGGTAAAATTGATTAAATTTGGAGCAAATTGGGGAGCGAGTGACGTAGTAAGAGGGGGTGCTTAACAGCAGTGACTTTTCCTGTAGGGAGATGGGATGCTGACTCCTGACTTCCTCAGGGTAACAGAGAACTATTTGGTCTGTGGATCTCTAGTCTGTGGTTGTATTTGCTTTTCCTTTTGTCTTGAGATCTGGCCCACAGTGGGAGGTGACTGTCTTTTCCAAACCTGCAAGGTATCTGAACTTCTGCTCTGGCTCTTTTGAGGACCTAGCCCTGTCTGACTGCCTATAATATTTCTAACTAATTCAGCTACCTGTAACAGCAGGAAGATCTTAAGCCAGGCATGGGCACCTTAGTGAATTAGTGAAACCCTGTTTCAAAAATGAAAAAGGATCTTGGAGTATACTTAGTGCAAAGGCCATGGGTTCAATTTCCAGGATCATACACACACACACACACACACACACACACACACACACACACACACACACACGAAAAGAAAAGAATACAAAGAAAAAGGAAAAAGAAAAAGAAAGAGAAAAAGAAACTGGCTTGCACATCAAAGCCTCTGGGGGAGCTTGAGCATGTTCAGGCCACTGTGCAAGTCGATTGGGTTGTTACAGGCACATTTAAAACACTTAAAAGCTTCCCAAGGTTCTAGTGAAGCTGAGAACCCCATTGCTGGGCCCAAGGAACAGGCGGATGTGTAATGCAGGTAACTGGAGGGATAGATGGGAGGACACTCCAGACCAAGGAATCTACAGGAACAAGAGGCCTGGAGGCAGGATTCTGACCTCTAGGACACTGAGTAGCCCCTATCTGAAAGCCTGGGAAGCCTAGAGTGGGTAGGGGCATGTCCACATCCAACGGAGCTGGGACCCCATGAATCAGGGCTGGCCATACGTCACTCCTAAACCCTGAACTGTGGTGGGTACACAGTGAGCAAGTGGAAGAAGCTCACTCACTCGTGGCTCAGTCATCCATCTTCGTTTGTCCACCCACCTGCTCCACGACTCACGTTTGCCCTTATCCTGTCACCCTCTCCTTCCCTCTGGTCTGTGTGTGCTGGCATCTGAGGTGTCTGGCCTGGCTGGTGCAGGGCAAGCGAGGGCTGGGTATGCAGAGAGCCAGTGCTGGGGATGCAGTGGGTTAGCCAGAGCTTTCATCTGGATAGGATATGCTCAGGTAGTCGTGCCAGCAGGGAAGGACTGCTGGGAGGGAGCACAGCACAGGGCTGGGCCTGGCGCAGTGCAGAAGGAAGGATTCTCTCAGGAGCTGGCGAGGAGAGCTCTCCTCTAACCCTAATGCCCAGAAGGGAGAAGAGCCCTTGCCCTCTTGTGTCTGACTGAGACGTTTTTCCCTGGCCCTACCCTCCTTAAATCAGAAGGTATGGTTCCTCATGACAGAGTTGAGAGTGAATTGAGCAGAGGCAAAGAGCAGTCACCAGGTAGGAAAGAGGAGAAGACCGAGGGCCCAGCGGAACCACTAACTCTGTGGCTTTTCCCTGCTCTGGGCATTAAGATCTCCTCTTTTAAAGGAGTGAGGTTTGGAATGGACCTTGGCCAATACTTGTACAGACTTCCTATGTCAAGCACTGTGCTTGACTCTTCTCAGCCACTTCAACCTGGGGGAGCTGGGTCTGTTACCAGACCTTATTTTATAAGTGAGGAAACCCATTGCTGGGCCCAACGGACAGGCAGGTGACTGGAGGGATAGATGGGAGGACACTCCAGGCCAAGGAATCTACAGGAACAAGAGGCACAAGAAGGTTATGTGCCTTGGTTAAGGACACAGTGCATTAAATGACAGAGGAGAAACTTGAATTCGCCTGCACCCTTAACCACAGGGTTATAAAGCCTTGGAAGAATAATGTGCTCCAAGTCTCTGAACCACCCCCCACCCTACACCCCCTCCCCCCAGCAGAGGGACCTTTGGAGAGCACTTAACAACTTGATTTTCTTGTCTTCAAAATGGAGGAAAATTACCTACCCCAAGGGAAGATTGCATTAAATGATCTGGTCTGTGGCTTGTGCAAGGGACACTGTGTGCGGGCGTTTGCTAAGTGCTCTGCAGGGACTGCAGTTGTGGTCAGGGGTCATCTCACAGTGTTGAGGGTCTCCAGGGTCATGTGTCTTCTACTAGATCTCAGTTCTTTGGGGGAATGTAGACTTCTGTAGGAAACGAATCAGTCCTTTAGGGTGGGCCTAGAGGGAAAGGCTTTCTGCAGGAACAGAAAAAGGCCTGGGGCCCAGATCTGGGCTCCAGGGGACAGATGAGAGCCAAGGGAGTGGGGCGAGCTAGTTAGGGGGCAATAGCTCTCGGCAAAGGTGGGAAGAGCAAGGGTGGGACCGTGGGTGTATCTGGACTGTTCCAAAGCTGTGATCTCAGAACTGTTAGGTACTTCAGCATGGGAGGAGCGAGGAGGCACCCCACCTCGGCTGTCTTCCTTGCTAGAGGAAAAGGTCAGACAGCCACAGGGGAGGACATAGAAATGAGGCTAGATAGAGGAGGGTCTTAAATGTGTGTCCAGAATCCCAAGCTCTTAATTGCCCAGAAGCTGGGGGCGTTTGTTTTGTAAGGCCTGGGGTAGCAGAGGGTCTCAGTCTCATGTGTTGACCCACATCCTAGTGTAGTCTCTATACTCTCAAGAAGAACTCAGAGCTAGTGAAAAACAGAAGACCATGGGCTATGGAGACCCTCAGCACTGAGCTGATGGGGAAGGAGAGGGGATAGTTCAGGGTGATGGGAGCCCACTGGGGAGGCCCACTCGCAAAGGGGTTCATCAGCCTACAGTCTGCAGGCTCACCTCAGTCTGCACCTCACCTGCAAGAGGTACTTTTTCAGGGCTCAGGTAGTAGGAGAGCAATTTTCCACTCTCAGCTATAGTAGAGGCCTGAATTTTTCCCTGCATACCACTCCAAGCTCAGGCCTGTTCTTAAGGCCCTCCTCTACTGGAGTTGGGCCTCTTGGCTGCAGATTAAACACACTTGTAAAATACACAGAAGTGACCCTGCTCATTGCACTGCAAGATGCCTGTGTCTAGGCCTCTTCTCCAGCCCAACATCTCAATATCTGGGTGGGTTCAAGCAGGTCTGTGTTAAAAGCCTACAGGAGATTCTAAAGTG